GGGCCTGGGATCGGGGGCGCGCGCCGGTGCCCCACCCGGCTCCGCCGTGGTCCGCCCGCTCGCGGTCCCGGTCAGGTGGCCCCCTCCAGCCCGCCGTCTCGCCGCCCTCCCGCCTCGGTCCAGTCCCGCCCGCTCTGCGCGGTGGCTCCAGGAGCTTGGGCTCCCGGGATGCTCATCCGCGGCTGAGGACCTCAGCACCTAGCCAAGCTAGGTTTCTCAGCGGATGTGCGGAGGCAGAGGGTCTGCGAGAACCTGCGCATGCCCTAATTAATTCACCTCTGGGGCCCGGGGACAGATGAGGGCTTTTTGCTTGAGCAGCTGGTATGTAGAGCCTGGGCTTGAAGAGAAAAATGCAGCAGGCTGGGAACGGTCCCGACCTGTTCTCCAGGAGCTGCTGTCTCCTGGAGCCGTCGTGAACCATATTCTGAGATTCCCACAACCTCTTCGTTGCAAGAGATGGTTCCCACCCCCGGAGCTTGATGTGCAAGGGTCCAGGACCTGGCTTTCTTTGCAAATGCTTCTCTACCAAATAAATGCTTGTTCTTTAAACTCTTCTGTATGTGATGGACCGTCTTGTTTGGTCTTGAATTCTTGTGTTTTCTCTCTTGCAAAACGCAAACCCGTAAAATGAGTTCCGCCTAGGTTTTTCGTGAGAGGAAAGGTTTCTTTCATCTTCAAAAGCAAACAATATATATATATATAACCTTCCCATGTCTCCTCAAATAAGGACTTAAAAACCAGGGTCAGTTATTCAGTGAGCAGCTAACCAAACACGGGGGAAACCAGTAGACATTTGGCAAAGATTGGTCATGTTCTGGGTGGTCTGGGAAATTTTGAAAAAACTAATTCTTACTGCACAAAATAGTTTTACAGTCAGTTCCACCAGACAGCCCCAGGGGCCTTTTTGGAGAAAGGAGCCAACAGGCACAACTGCCCAGGGGGAGGACAGACAAGTGGCCAGTGGAAAACATTTCTTCTAGCAGCCGGGCATTTCTGAAGCGCTGAAAGCAAACTTAATTTGCGTCGCTTCAATAATTGGGGGGAGGGGCGTGTAAAATTCTGTTTTGGAAATGTTGCCCAATATAAAAATACATTTGATCTGGGGAAGACGAAGGCAATTAAGGCCCACCCAGAAGAAAATATTTTTGTCCTGCATTTTTTAATTTGGTATTTCCCAGTGTGAGTTTGCTTCATTCTCCAAATAGCTGTGTCGAAAGTTATGTGTAATATAATTGGAGTATTTAAATTTGATTCATATCCTACCTATTTTAGGAAACTAACAAAAGAATCCTATAGAGAATTGTTTTATGGAGTACAAATGCCCCCCCCCCCCTTCTTGCTTGATTGTGTTGGTGAGGTGGTATTAGGGAAAGAGTCTGGTTTGGCTTAAAATCAGGTATCACTAAAATCAGCTTTCCAGATGCAAAACAGAGCTCTCAGGTACCTGACAGTCTGTAGAACTTGGTATTTCCTCTAGAGGTTGCTGGGGCTGTTACACAGATCTACCATATACGGATTCAGGGAAAATTCACCCTTGCCCAGGTTCTGCCATGTCTACCAGTCTGCAGTTCAAAGACTGAAGAGTTACCTCTTTACAGACATAAACATTTCATTGAGGGTGGTGGGTCCTATTCTGTGCTTTGGTACGCTTTCATATCAAGTGAGTTTTCAATGAAGACCGTATGCTCTTGGGGTCATTCTGGTTGTGTGTAGTTGGCTGAAACCATCTTTGACTTTAGGTGTATTCCTACTTGATACCAGCCCTGACATGGTGGAGGCACAGACCTGTGTTTTGGTTTTCTTCACTCCTTCAGTACTAATTAAAAACCTACCTACTGTGTATGTAAGGTCATATTCTAGCACTGTAGATGTATTAGATTTGCCTACCCTGTTTTCTTTTTCTGGGTCACTTTGCATCTTTATGGCTGAGTTTCATAAAAGACTAATAATAATCCGCTTCATCTGTATAGTGCTTTACAGCTTACAGAGCACTTTTACAAAAATTATCTCATGTGATCCTCCCACATAAACCTCAGTTAGGCACTAGTGTGGGAAGCGTCATGGGTGAGTGGAAAGAGCCTAGACCAGGCATACAGACTGATAGAAAAATTCTGAGATGTCCTACATTTAATTACAAAGGGCCAGGGGATAGAAGAAGAGAGAGATGGAGGAGATTGACCAGTAACAATCTACAGGCCTGGAAGAGCAGAGTACTGTTTTTGCATTCTTGAATGTGTGTTCAAGCCTTCGCTCAAATCCACTCTGACACTCTAGGAGCCAGTGCAAGGACTGCAGTCCTCCTTGCAGCCCTTACCAGTACAGAAGCCCTTGCTTCTCTTTATATCTCTTGTCCCAGCACAAAGCCTTCCCTACTTCAGGTAACCCCAATAGCCAATGTGGGTTCTATATAAATAGTGTATATGTAACAATGTTTTCATTGTAAAGTCATTTTTTTTCTGGCTAGTATATGAAATGGCCCAATAAACCCTTTTGTTTTGGAGATCATGGCCTCAGGAGTTTGGGTTTAATAAGATACAGCCTACTACCCATTTTACAGTTGAGCAAGCTGAGCCTCCACTCGGGCTTGAATAATTTGTTCAAGGCCATGGACTCATAAATGAGTCAGTGAATATTTCCAGGTTTGGGAACTATTAGGAACAGTATGTTCTAAACATTTATAAAGCATGCATCCCAGATTCAGCATTCCCAAAGTCAGTCATATTTTGGATCCCCCCCAAAAAAGTGGGAGGATGAGATTATCAGTTTTCTGTGAGTTATAAATAATTTAAAATTTCAAAATGTATTAAATTGGTCCACAGTTCTTGTGGGAATAAGGAAATTACAGCCCTAACATAAGTAGCCAGGATACCTGGACCAAAGATAGATTCCACTTGGTTTATGGTCTGTGATCCTCAGAATTATATTTTTCTGATTATTTTGATCAGAAAATAGTTCTAACCCCACTCCTTGTCAATAATTTTTTTGTTACACACACATTATACATCATGTTTTTAACTTTAAAAGTAATTTGAATGTTTTACATATGCTCTAAAAGGAACAACGGCAAGTTACTTAAGTTGATTTTTTTTACTACATTTGGCTCAGTTCTGGAGAAAAGTGATTCATGATCTAAGCAAGGTTCTAAGCTCTCACTTAGCCACTGTAGGCTTCCATTAAGTGAACTGAATTTCCCTATTTATCCTTTCATATGATTAATTAAATGTGCAGGTATTGACAGTCTACTACGTTTAACACTGATTTGGATTTAAAGAGGGGTTTGGGTAAGAGCTTGGAGTCTTGAAATCTTAAAACCCTTGGAATGCAGTATCAAACCCCGCATTAGAATAAGCCAGTGTGTTTGGTAAAAAGTCAGTCATCCATCTTCTACCAAGTCAGACTCTGTGCACTTTGCATTAATAGTAATTCCCCAGGTGATTTTTTTTTTCTGTAAACAAGTGTTGGTCTTACATAGAATTTCTATGCACCAACTAATTCTGCAAGGAGCTTCCTTTCTTAAAGTCCACATATCTCACATTTCCAAATTCAACTTTATACTTGTTACTCTTTTGTATTTCTGCTGAAGGAAAAAGCTATGAAAATTAGAATTCCTTTTGAACACTACTGTCATGGGAAGAAAATATGCAGCCCATCAGCTAAATGAAACTAAACGTAACATTAAGCATTTGAGGGAGAATGGTGGGTCACTGGAGATTTGGAATTTCGGCACTGTTTCTATTATGAAGTTGATAACTCACAACCCAGCTTGGTGGTAAATATGATTTAGAAGGATATTTAGTCTGAGTTAGGCTAAGAGATAACTTTGTAGTTTCTCCCAAGTATCTGATGTTTGTGAAGGGGTGTGCTGGTCAATTCCTCTTTTCCTTCTCTTTTCTCCTATGTCTCTAAAAGACAAGCCCCCATTTAATATCTTTTCTGACTGATATTTTGTGCA